TTGTGGCCCAGACCCTCGTAACCGACAACAAGACCCAGTTCACGGAAAGGAAATTTCAAGATTTCATTGTTAAACTAGGCACCAAGCAACACTTTACGTACGCCAAACACCCCCAGACCAACGGACAAGTAGAGGTCGCGAACAGGGTGATCCTTCACGAACTAAAACAAAGGTTAGGCGAAGCCAAAAAGAGGTGGGTCGAGGAGCTACATAGTGTGCTCTGGGAATATAGAATAACTCGACACTTTACCATCGGGGAAACTCCCTTCCGATTAGCATACAGAACCGAGATGGTAATCCCAATGGAAATTAGAGAACCCTCTAGACGGACAAAGGCCCCTCTCGATGAGGAAATGAATGACGAAGCATTGCGAGAAGAACTCGACCTGATCGAAGAGATCCGATCAGGGGAAACTCTGTGTGAAGCTTCGCTGAAGCAAAAAATAACGCCGCTCCACGACTCCAAGGTCATAAAGCGCGACTTCCAAGCGGGTAGCCTGGTTCTACGCTGAAATTAAAAAGATTCACACGAAGGAAAGCTGGCCGCAAATTGGGGAGGCCCTTACCGGGTGAGGTCAAAACAGGAACTAGAGCCTACTACCTCGAACACCTAAACAAAGAACCATTTGCTCGACAATGGAATGATGAAAAGATCAAAAAATATTACAGTTAGTGCTAATTAAATTAGGACTAACCACTGACGACCTCATCTCACATCGAGAAGGTCGTACGACCAAGAGAGCGTGCCTTGGTGCAAGCACAATTCTCAAATATAACGAATGCAAGTTTCTTCTCATGGAACGAGTAGATTCTGGGCCCAACGGGGATACCTCAATCGAGCTCCGCCGTTGCCGTACTAGCGTGGCAGGACACCCAACTCGCGGTTGGAAAGTCCAAGCGCTGCGCGATCAAGATCTCAACCGAGATCCTAGTCCTACGACAGGCGAAACTACTTCGCCCACTCAACAAGTTCCCGAAACTGTCGAACATCACAGAAATTCGAGCAAACTCTCATTCAGCAAAAATAAATCGCAAGAAAAACTAACAAGAACAATACATATTAAGGCATCTAATATCGAGCAAACATGTCTGTATACATAAAAATCCGACCACCAGGCCGGAAATTGTCTAAATATTACAAAAACACGGGTCAAGCCTGACAATTTGAATTTACATAAAAATGGCACGCAAGGCAAAATACACAAAGTTACAACGAATAATCAAACATCATCAGTAGGAATTTCTGGAGGGACCACCTGCCCGTCGACCACCTAGTGCAGAACGCCCATCCCTTAAGTAACCAGCTGGACGTTGGGGTTCAAGGCCTTCTTCTGCTCCACCGCAACATTGAATTCAAACTCGACAGCTCCGAGGGTGTCCTGCTCAAGGATGCAGATCTTGCCGATTATCTCTCGCCGGGTCTTTAGGGATTTCTCCTCCTTAGTTTCATCCAGACCCGCCGCCGGCGAGCCTTTCAGCTCCGCTACTCTAGCCTTCAAGCTGAAATTCTCCTCCTTAATTTTCTCCATCTCATCAGCCATCTCATTCATATCTTTCAAGAGTGTGACCTTGGCCTTATAGTTGCCTTGAAGAGTCGACAGATGGTTGAACAGGTAAGATGTCTCCAACTTAAGCTCGGTCTCCCTAGCCTTTACCTTTTGAACTCTTTAAGCGGACTTGTCTCCGCATCACCCAGGGCCAGAGTCGTCTCCAGCACCCTCATCATTGCTGCAACATCACGGCGACAAACTTGACCGGGCGCTCACGCAAGTTCGACATCTTTCCTGCAAAGAAGGAAAGGGGGTTAGCATGACATCATAACATCAAAAAGCACAAGTTAAACACATCATCTATACCTAGAAGCTTAAAAGCCTCAGCTTCAGTTTTACAGTCGAGGACTTTGGTGTTTATATAACGGGCCGCCCGAGCAGGATCCCTGTCCTCCGCGTAGAGAAGCTTACCGTCCTTGTCCACCACGGTGGTATGAGTAAAACTCTCCACATACGTTGTCAGCGCTCGAAGAGATTTCTTATCCTCAGAGCATAATTGATCGTATTTCACGAGGAATTGGTCAGTTCTATACCGAAAATGGGCGTACACCCACTCCAAGGGAAATTTTGACACAGGTCGTACCACCTCCCGACCATCCTCCTTCATCATCTCCATGGTTACTAGGGAACTCTTGGACGCCTCTGAAAGTGGCCTTACAACCAGAAACTTGAACTTGAAATTCCAGACAGACTCTGAATAGGGTCAAAATAGCCTACTTTGCTGTTTAAAAGACGCCTAACTTTGCTTTGACTTAGCGGTGCTCCTCTGTACCTGAAAGATGCAGAAGAAGAGCTCCACGGTAGCCCCGATCCTCAGATGACGGCATACCAGCTCGAAAGCCCGAATGAATCCCAAAGCATTCGGGTGAAGTTGGGCAGGACACAATTCGAGATGACAAAATATCGCCCCTTAGAAATCTGTGAATGGCAGACGATACCCTGCCTCCTAAAAGTAAAATCGTACATTGAGAATCTTCTCCCCGGATACACCGAGCATATTTAATCATTCTCTGTTGGACTAATAGCCCTCCAACTCATGGGCGCATCTTCGGGCCTATCTTCGAGGAGATCAAAAGTACTGACCTCCTCCTTGGTAAAGGTCGACTTGGTCATTAGAGGCTCTGGGCGGTCCAACTAAGGTCCCCTTGAGCAACCCTCACGTTGACATATTCGGCGGGAGGCACATCCTCATTAATAGTCGCCTCAACATCGGGGACGGTTCCTTCATTTTGATAAGCCATTTCACTTGAAAATTAGAGGAAGAAAAAGTGAATTCGACGAAGATCAAATCCACCCTTCCACCACAAATCAAGTGAAAGGGTGAGGATTAAGTGCGAGGATGACTCCTTGACTCAAGCCCTTATCAACGACAAGGGGCCTCGACGAAACCCCTCCTTGAAAACGGGGATAAGTCCCCGCGACTTGTAAAGACCCTAAAGGGGATAAGCCCCGCGACTGCTATAACTTGTCGGGAACCTAAGAACGAAACTCTCAGCGTCGAGGATACCTTATGCCCGACTATAAACATGAAACATTTCACACAACAACCTAGGAAGATCTACAGACATACACAACATCCTAGATTCATGTTCTTCAAGGCCTTCATAAATTTCCCAGGAAATTCATGTGTTCATCTGGAAACGCATGAACTTCAACCGAAAAATTCATGCATCCCCGGGAAATTCAAGCTAAAATTCCAGAAATTCATACATTCTAACAACAAGGATGAAGAACTTACTTGGATAAGGAGGTTGGAGATGAAGATCTGGAAAAAGACAAGGATGACTGATGGCGGAGAAGAATGCTCCGGCGACAAACAAAAGTTGCAGAGCAAGAGGATTAGAGGAGAGAAATTTTCGTGAAGTGAAAATGAATCCTCTTTCGCCCTATTTATAAGCTCTTTTGTTCACATAGGGAAACACAAAGGGCAAAAAGCCATCATTGCCTAGCCTCCTAAACAATGTCACCAAATAGCATCCGAGCAGGAGTTTCTTCGACATTTTCTGCATCGTATGAACAAGTCTGGTCGACGTAAAATGCACCTTTCATATCCGACCACGTCCTTGCACCTCCAAGGAGGTCACACACAATCAACAATCGACCATACTAATCATATGCTATGCACATCCCATGAGTTTTTCGTTCAAATAATGGCGACCTCAAAGACCTCCCCGTGATATGGTTCTTGCCCCTAGGTCGACTAGCAAGGCTAACTCAAGTCATTACTCCTCACCTCGAAGCAACGACTTAGGGGACTCCTGTTCTGGACTGGACTGACACATGCCCTACAATTGGGTAAGGCCCAACCCAGTTTAGCTTAAGGCCAGACCCAATAAAGAGATTAAAACAATCTAGCCATTGAGCACAATATAGCCGTTGGAGCACAATATGACCGTTAGACACAATATAGCCATTAGAGCATATAGCCGTTGGGGACATCCCCCTCACGTGCTTGACAGTTCACACGACCAACTTCCCCTTCGAAAGTCATGGGGACAGTTGGACCAGGTCAAAGATCACGCGCTAGATCTTCCACCTGCCAGTTCCCCATTGGCCGACCAGATATTTTGATCACATGGGAGACCTTGGCCCCGCGCTGGGGGGAATCTCATAAATACCCTCTCTCTTGAGAGGGTCAGGTATTCTAATCATTCTCGCTCATACCTAAACACTTGTACTCGCTTTCTCTCTAGCCCAAAAACTTACTCTGACATCAGAGTATCTTGCAGGTACACCCCCTCTTCTCCTACAACTAATGTTGCTGTCCTACATTGAAGGGCAAAACGATCTATTCTGATCACTCCAGATCAATTTTCAAATTGTTTAAACAAAATGGTTTGATTAACAAATTAAATATAAGAATTCGATTATTTTAACTTCAATTCGGTTCGATTCAAATTTTTGTTTTTTCTAACAGCCCAACTCATTGTACTACGATTTTAACTCAACTTTATTATGACATGATAGAATTAGAGTTTGATCTAACTCAACCTTATAAAATCTATTGATAAGGTGAGAGATACTACTCTATATAAACCTTTTGTAAATTAGATGGTCCGAATTATTGATATATAAGACTTGATTTTTTCAATATGACATAAGTACTTGTTGAAAAGTTTGTTGAAGAAAAATAACAGGCACTAAGAAAGCCATAACATTAATCTCTAAGTTCCAGAGTGGCATCAATTGGCAATAATATGTCATGTTTATAGTTAAATTTGAAGCGAGTGAATAGCTAAATATAACTATAAACATGATATTAGTCTCTCAATTATTTGATTTTTTTCCATCCAATACTATTTGCTGAAAATCTGGTCCAACATAAATATAGATTTTTTTATACAATATTTCTATACAACACAAAAACGCTCTGTCAATATTATTCCGATCATACTATACATATCAAACAAAAATAAGACAAGAAAAGAAAAACCAACAGGTTTCTGAACACTATGCATTAGGATCTAACTTGTGCTTTGAAGTGGCTCTAATATAACAATAAACAACCACCAAAAACGTTGTACCAAGTCCTCCAAGAATAACACCTCCACCAACTATAGACTTATCAAACAAATGATGTTTTTTCACCAAACGAAAATGACTCTGAGAATCCAAAACAGAACTTTTTTCATGACTAAGAATACTCCCTTCAAAAGGACTAGGACTTGGTGACATAATACCATGATTGTCATATTGGTTCTTACCAAGTTTTCTTCCAAAAGGCGATTCAACTTCATTTAAAGATGGTGTTGAAATTGATCTGACATTAATTTGAGGTTTGTTTGTAGTTGTAGCCATTACATGACATAGAAGAGTGTTTGCTAATAAAAACCACAAGAAAATAAACTTGGTCATTTTTTGAAGATGTGTGATTTAGTCTTTGGAAGATGATTATATATAGAGATTCTACAATCGTGTGGTTTGATCAATCTTTTGATGAAATTTCCTAATGTTGGATTGTGATGATAAATGAATTTTTATTTAATTTGTTTAATAGTAAGTTGTCTATGAGATGGGAGAAATTGTGTTAATGTGTGTTGGGATTAGAATATGTAGAAATACAACTAAGAGAATCAAGGGAACAAGATGTTAGTGATGTTTATATGAAGAGTTGTGTGCAATTGTATTCAATTATATAAAAGTTAGCGTATTTAATTTATGGCTACAAAATATTTTTAATGAAGATGTTTAGAAGTTGCTTAATTTTCAATTAAAGGATTAAACCATTTGCACGTGAGGGAGACAGTCACATTCAATGGTAGAATAAACAATTCATTTCATTTCATGTTATTAAAAGATTAGATCTGCACAAATTATAGCTAAACGGACAAAAATTGATATTGTTATACAGATTGTCATATTAGGTTTAGGCATGGCAACGGGGCGGGTTTAGCTAGCTCCGCATCCGCACCCGCCTCTCTGTTACAGACTTTCTTTGCCCCCAAAATTCAACCGAGGATAAAAATTTACCATTCAAACTCACCTCCGATAGAAACGGGTTTGCCCGCACCCGCTCCCACCTGTAAAAAAAATAATTTCTTTTAAATAGTAATAAAAACTAATAATTTTATTAAAAACTTGACCATTTTAATAATAAAATTGTTTCTAAAGATGAGGGTTTGAGTGAACGGTGAAAAATAATTAATGATAATTTTTAATTACTTCTCCAAAAGTGAATAAATGTGTAATAAAATAATTTAAATATGGGTACTAAAGTAAATACCATAAGACCGGGTAGAGCAGGAGTGGGTAGTAACATCCCCCTGTACCAGCACCCGTAATTATAAACCGAGTTTTTCCCACACCCGCACCCACACCCAATCAAATTGAATTTTCCCCGTTAATTTTAGACCGGGTCCTGTAACACCCCAAAATAATTGGAATATTTATTTAATTTATTTATTATAAATATTCGTGATTTTCGGTGAATTTTGGTGAAATATTTTAATGTATGATGATTTGTGTTGGGGAGGGGGGGGGGGGGGGGGGTTATTGTTGATGTTAGGAGGGTGTTGAGGATATTTAGAAGAATATGATTTATTAAAATTATTTTGATAATAATAATAGTGGATAATGTGAATATCTTATTATTAATATTATTTTAAATAAATAATTGGAACACTAAGGGCAAGATGGTAAAGTTGGTTGTTAAGTGAGGACAAAGTTGGAAAGACATATTAGGGGTCTTAGGGGTAAAAGGGAAAATAGAGAGAAATTAAATCATTTTGGTACGACCGTATTTTGAGATAAGAGCTCTGAGGAAAAAGTAGAAGAGGCTAGAGCTCAGAGAAAGTCTGGAAGAACTCAAAAAGAGGATCAAAATCGAATTGTCTAAGGTATGAGGAGTATCGCTTGTCATTATAATTGATATAAGGTTAGATGTATGTAGGTGGTTGAGGTTTTATAGGATTTTGGATTTTTAGGAGATTATGACGAATTTTGCGATTTGGGGATGTGTAGAATGAAGGGAAATGATGTATATATTGTCTAGTATGATGTATTGTTGTTGTAGTGTTGATTTACTTGTGATTGACGTGTATTTTTGGACCGAGAAGTTGCATGTTCACGCAGTTTCGCCGGGAGAAACCCAGGAGAGCAAACTGCTTCGTCGGGCGAACACCAGGCGAGCAGGAGCTGTGTTTTTTTTCTTCTTTTCCTTATTTTGTATTGTCTTGTGTCTTGTTGTCTGTATTCTTTGAGTATTTTATGTGTTGTGTTTTGATGATTATAACATTTTGATTGGTGATGACATATGAAGAATTGCGATGCATAATGATGATATAACTCTATGATGTTTTGGTGAGTTTTTATGAATGATGATGCAACCTTGATGATCCTGTAATGATGATGATTATGAAATTTTGCATCATGCATTCATGGCATAGTAGGACTTCAGTCCAATGTTGTTTATAGGACTTCGGTCCAGTGTTGGCTTTAATTCCATTATGAGGATTGAGGTGTTTATGTTGTGCTCCAGTTCTTGTATAGAATCGATCCTATTGGTGGGGATATTTGGAGGGTGATGGCCTAGTGTCCATCAAAATGTTGATTTGGTACCACATGCATGAGTCTATGTTGTTGCATTTCATGTCATGTGACATTGCATCTATGTGAATGATTGTTATTATTGATGAGGTGGTCTTAAAATAACGTGTGATGATGTTGGGACTTGAGCGATGCTTTGGTGATGAGTTGTTGATATGATGACTTTATGAACGAAGATGTATACATGATACCATGATATGAAGGTGTGGGTATAATACTTGGTAAATTATAATGTATGGATTTCATGATGATGTTGTTTTTGTATGATGAATGATATCTTAATATATCTTATCTTTATTTCTTTTATAATGATTGTGATTACTCATCCTGCCTGTTTGAATGTTGCCTCCACGTGGGTAACGTGCAGGTGATCAGGATTAGCTCTTTTGGTGTGTGAAGAACTAGCCTTGATGTATTTTGGTCATTTATGTTGATTAGAGGGTCTTGCTCTGATATGTAACATCGGGTCGGGATGTTTGAGTCGAACCATTGTGTTCTTTTTGTTGTTGACCTCATGAAAGTATGAGTTTCTTGTTTTAAGACTTTTGAGTTATTATTTATGTTGAAATGTGATTTTCCGCTGCGTAGTATTTGATTTAATTTATGTTGACAGAACCCGTGTTGCGGAGTAAGACGTTAACATGATGTTTTTGACGAAATGTGACACACTTGTGGTTATATACTCTGATATAATTACTTATAATTATTGTGAATGTTCTTTGGGGTAGAAGGGTGTAACATTTGTGGTATCAGAGCAGGTTGGTCCGTCCGACCAAGTTTAGTATGATGTCAGTCCCCTAACAATCGATGAGTGTGGGTACACTTTTGATGATTTTTTTTCTTCTAACGTTGTTGACGATGTACATAATGGTTGGAAGAAATGATCACCCTATTGCTGATGCGTTGGAATCACTTGCTCAATTGATGGCTCAGAATAATCAGAATGGTGGAGCTCCTGATGAGTTTCACTCTTTGGGGAAGTTTCAGAGGAACAATCCACCAACTTTCGTGGGCACCCATGATCCAGAGAGTGCACAAAAGTGGCTAAAAGTGATTGAGAAGATTTTCCGAGTGATGGCATGCATTAACACTCATAAGGTATAATTTGGTACTCATATGTTGTTGGAAGAGGCTGAAGATTGGTGGGATAACACAAGTTAGAGGCTGGAGGATGTTGGTACTGAGATACTTGGGCCGTATTCAAGAGATAATTTTTGGGAAATTATTTTCCTGAAGATGTTCGTGGCAAGAAGGAGATAGAATTCCTTGAACTGAAGCAAGGAAACATGACTGTGGTAGAGTATACTGCAAACTTTGAGGCGCTAGTGAAGTTTTGTTTGCATTACAACCGTGCTGATGCTGAGATGTCTAAATGTCTCAAGTTTGAGAATGGACTGAGACCAGAGATCAAGCAGGGTATTGGATACTAACAGATTCGCAGGTATGCTGTGCTAGTGGATAAGAGTAGGATCTATGATGAGGATAGCCGAGCTCGATATGCTTACTACAAGAATCTTAGTGAGAAGAAAGAGAAAGGACAATTTAGAGGAAAGCCTTATGTGACTCCAACTGATATAGGAAAATAAAAGGTTTCAGATGGGAAAAAGACAAGTGACGGAGCAGCTCCCGCTTTTATTAAGTGTTACAGGTGTGGCGAGCAAGGCCACTGTGCTGAAGCTTGCAACAATAGTGTGTTTAGGTGTTACAAATGTGGTAAGAGGGGTCATAGAGTTACTGAGTTCAAGGATGAAGGTTCGACTTGTTTCAACTGTGGTGAACAAGGTCACATCAGTACCTAGTGTCAAAAGCCGAAGAAGACTACTACTGCTGCTCAGACTAATGGCAGAGTGTTCGCTTTAACTAGTTCAGAAGTTCCTAAGAAGGATAACTTGATTCGAGGTACTCGTTTTATTAACAATGTTGAGTTGGTCGTTATTATTGATACTGGTGCTACTCATTCGTTTATTTCTCTTGAATGTGCTACTAGATTGGGTTTGAAAGTATCTGATATGAATGGTAGTATGGTGATAGAAACTCCTGTTAATGGTTCTGTCACTACTACTTTTGTGTGTTCGATATGTCCTTTGATGATATTTGGGAAGAGTTTCGTGATGGATTTGGTGTGTTTACCCTTACACCAAATTGATGTAATCCTGGGAATGAACTGGTTGGATTTCAACTATGTTCATATCAACTGTTATAATAAGACCGCGGAGTTTCCTGAGTTTGGTGATAATGAAGAGTTGATGTTCTTGTCCACTAAGCAAGTAGGCAAACTTCTAGAAGATGAAGCTTCAATGTTTACGCTGTTTGCATCATTGCAAGTTGATGATGAAGCTGCACGTGTCGAATTACCTGTTGTCGATGAATTTCCAGAGGTGTTTCTGGATGACATAAGTGATTTGCCTCTAGAGCGTGAAATAGAGTTTGGAGTGGATTTGATACCAGGAACGAGTCCGGTGTCAATGGCTCCTTATCGGATGTCAGCTTCCGAGTTAAGTGAATTGAAGAAATAATTGGAAGAATTTCTTAAGAAGAAGTTTGTTCGACCGAGTGTTTCTCCGTATAATACTTGGTAAATGATAATGTATGGATTTCATGATGATGTTGTTTTTGTATGATGAATGATATCTTAATATATCTTATCTTTATTTCTTTTATATTCATTGTGATTACTCACCCCGCCTGTTTGAATGTTGCCTCCACGTGGGTAACGTGCAGGTGATCAGGATTAGCTCTTTTGGTGCGTGAAGAACTAGCCTTGAAGTATTTTGGTCATTTCTATTGATTAGAAGATCTTTCTATGATAT